ATGCTTATTACTTGTTGACAAAATGTATTGACAAAAAATCTAAAATGGACTTTTTGGCCAAAAATAATTTCAAAGTTTTTTCAAAAAAAAAAAAAAATAAAATAAAATAAAATTGCAAGAAAAAGCAAATTGAACATTATAGGCAAATGTTTTTATATCTTAAAAGACTATGTATATTTAAGACAAATCATCTAACCGGATTTCTAATTTGTTTTCAATTTGTTTTCAAAACAAACCGGAATAACTGCTCCGTTAGGTTCTTTTTTTCTTCAAATTTTCAAATTACCTCTAATTTCTTTCTCATTTTTCATCTAAAAAATTCGATTAATTTGTTAGATCAATTATATTTTAGAATATTAAGCAATATTTAAAATTATTTTCAATTCAGAATAATAATAATTGAAATTATAATAATGAGAAAACCTAGGAGAAGAAATTTAATATTATTAACGAAAAGCAAATTAAAAATTGAAATTATTTTAAAAAATGAGCAGGATTAAATAAATTTTTTGTCGGATAAGAAATTATTATAATAATGTGAATAATTTTTTTCTTTAATAAATTAAAAAATAAAAATTTTTCGTTTTTTTCTCAATCAATTAAAAGTTAAAAGTTATAAACTTCTGCTATTCATTTGATTTACTGTTAAATGATTGTTTAAATTATACAAATAATCAATGCTATATTACTTTTTATCTCATTTTCAAATTATATATATAATTTCTATATGAAATTAACAATTATTGCTCAAAATTTTGATGAAATTTTAAAATTTTTTTTAATTAATGAAGTATAAATATACGTTTAAGTAATTTATGCATATGGAATCCATCATCCAACGATATCTATAAATCAAATTACTCGTATTTACTTGCAACATAATTAAAATGAATAGTTAATTAAGTTTTTTAAGTAATTAAAGAGTAATAATTTGTACTGTAATCTAATTGAAACTATTTGAAACATTTAAAATGTTTAATTTTTTTCCCCAAAACAACAATAACATACAATTTTTACATTTGTAATGACTTTTATAATGTTTCAATTAAATTACTACCTTCTCTCTCTCTCTCTCTCTCTCTCTCATTTCTAAAATTTTATTATGAAAGTGATTAATACAGTAACAGAATAACAAGTTTTAACACACATTGCTTTCTTAAATGTTTAATTTTATTTTTCTAAAAATGTTAAAATAATTTTTTTCTTTTTTTTTTCCACATTTTCTTTTCTGTCTTAAATTAGAAAACTTGTTTGAAATTGTTGATTAACTTACATTTTTGTCCTTATTACTGTTTCTGCAACATATATTGAGGACAGGTTAAAAGGGCAAAAACTAAAAAAAAGAAAAGGCGCAACAAAAAGAGAAGCTAAAGAGAAGAAACGAGAAAAACTAACAATTTTTTCATTTTGTTTTTTTTTTAGATTAAAAATTTATTATCACATTTTATTTGAAAATGTAATTGGTTAGTTGAGAAATGGAAAATTTTTGTGTAAAATTGTTAAAAATGTAATTTAGGAAGGAAATTTGTTGTATCAATCAATACTTGATCAGTTACTGAAACGAAGTAAAAGCAAGAAGTGATACGAAGAATTGGAAGGAATATTATTATCGAGAATTATTGAGAAGAAAAAATATAGCTGAAAAGAATTCATCAAGGAATAATCTAAAACAAATAATTCTGTATTTGGTTGTTTTCTTTTCTGATATTATTATTAATCAATTATTGTTATTATTATTATTATTTCCTGATCATATCATATCATAATTCTTATCAAAACTTATAATTCACTATGCGGCAACATTGCATATTAATAATGGATATCGATGAAGATCTAATGAATGAGATGGGAAGAGATTTTTCAAAATCGGACAAAAGCAAAGGTTTTTCAAAAATAATCATTACTAGTGGAAATATATAATGAATTAATGAGTTATTGATTAGATACAATGATTATATAATGGATCAATGAGTTATTGATTAGATACGATGATAATATGACGGATCAATGAGTTATTGATTAGATGCGATGGTTATATAATGGATCAGTGAGTCATTGATTAGATACAATGATTATATGATGGATCAATGTGTTATTGATTAGATAAGATGATAATATGATGGATCAATGAGTTATTGATTAGATACAATGATTACATAATGAATTAATGAGTTATTGATTAGATACAATGATTACATAATGGATCAATGAGTTATTGATTAGATACAATGATCATATGATGGATCAGTGAGTCATTGATTAGATACAATGATAACATAATGGATCAGTGAGTCATTGATTAGATACAATGACCATATGATGGATCAGTGAGTTATTGATTAGATAAGATGATAATATGATGGATCAATGAGTTATTGATTAGATACAATGATTACATAATGGATCAGTGAGTCACTGATTAGATACAATGACCATATGATGGATCAGTGAGTTATTGATTAGATAAGATGATAATATGATGGATCAATGAGTTATTGATTAGATACAATGATTACATAATGGATCAGTGAGTCACTGATTAGATACAATGACCATATGATGGATCAGTGAGTTATTGATTAGATAAGATGATAATATGATGGATCAATGAGTTATTGATTAGATACAATGATTACATAATGGATCAGTGAGTCACTGATTAGATACAATGACCATATGATGGATCAGTGAGTTATTGATTAGATAAGATGATAATATGATGGATCAATGAGTTATTGATTAGATACAATGATTACATAATGGATCAGTGAGTCATTGATTAGATACAATGGTTACATAATGGATCAGTGAGTCATTGATTAGATACAATGATTATATGATGGATCAATGTGTTATTGATTAGATAAGATGATAATATGATGGATCAGTGAGTTATTGATTAGATAAGATGATAATATGATGGATGAATGACGATAAGAAAGAGTAAAGCTTTTAGAGGAGAGAAATTTTGAAATGTTTTTCGATATTCTTTGATCATATCTCTTCCTCTCTATGTAATCTATTTTCCTTTCCTCTCTTTCTCTCTCCCTCTCTCTTGATTTAATGGTAACTGAAAAAACATTATTTGTTCACAATTATTGCACTTTTTTTCCTTTTTTTTTTAAATAAATTTTAATAGAAATGAAGAAATTGTGATTCTTTATTATTACTTTTTTCTTTCTTTTTTTTATTATTATTACAAAGAAATTACGATTGTGTCACAATTATTTGCAAATTTCTGTTTTTTGTTTTTTGTTGTTTTAGTAGAGAATATAAAATTGCTATAAAAAAAATAATTTAAACAAATTCATTGACTAATATTTTCTTTTATTTTATTTTTGATTTTTGATCTTTTTTTTTTCTTCGAAGAAATTCTTTTCTTTTTTTAAAAGAAAAAAAAATTCATTTCATTGTTTTGATCTGTTTATTATATCCAAAATTAATTTCAGAATGTTAAATATTAAAATACTGCATTATAGTTTAGTCTTTCAGTTTATTTTTATACAAAAAAAAAAAAACACAGAAAAATGTTTTTTATTTCGTTGCTCAAACAATTAATCAATCGTCCGAATTTATAATTTGGAAATTAGTTAACTTTAATAATTTTAACTGATATTATAGGTATGGATGTACAAGTTCGGAGAATTTTAAAAAATAAAAAAACAAACTTTCCGCTATTTGGTATTATTTTACTAATAATAATAATTGGTTTCAGTCTGATGTTTATTTTTCTTTTTCCGCGATGGGATAATTTTAAGGTATGTTTCCGTTTTTCTTTTTTTTTTTTCAAAAAAATAATTTCAATAATAATTCAGGAATTATTTTTAGTTGAACAAAGTGAATTACTTTTATAATTTTGTAATTGAGCATAAATAGAAAAAAAAATTATTCACAGAGTTTTTTTTTTTTTTCAAAATTTAAAGGAAAAAATTTTTTTCAACAAAAAAAAAATTTGTTATAATATGACATTTCTTTAATGAATCGATGAATAATTTTTAGCACTGATTCAATTAGCTGATCATTTTTTAATAAAATAATGCTATGTAAAATCTTAATATTTATGATATTAATAGCTTTTTTTAAGCCTAGAATATTACATATAAAATTTTCAATCATTAATTAATTAGCATTTTAATTCAAATATCGTTTTAATTTCATATTTTAATGCGAGAATAAATTTTAGAAAAAACAAGAATTATGGTTCAATGAAGATTGTTCAATAAAATGTCACAAAGCTGAGTATGCTTTTCTTGCTTTTTTTTTTTTTTGATTTTTTAAATTTATATAAAATTTTCATTTTTATTTTTGAGCAAAATTATAATTTAATATATGTTAGATATGATTTTAATACAGCAAAGCTGTGCTAAAGTAAAATAGTCTGTTATTTTTATTCATTCTCAAATATTTTTATTTATAGTTTTTAGTCAATTCTTATTGATTTATTAGAAAATAAATCTTTTGCCAGTTCTAATTTAAAAGCAAAATGAATTATTAAGGCTCGTTTATCATATGATACTCTTTTACTTTAATATAATTTCACTACTTTAAAATTATATCTAATTCGTATACATTTACTCAAATGAATTAATTCGAATAAATTAATTTGTCCTACTTTTTTGCATACTTTTTTAGGTTTGAATAAATTTTAGATGTAAGAAATATAGTATTATTTTATTTAGGATATATTAATGAACAAAAATTTGATAAGGTAGTTTTGATAAAATTAAAATATGTCTGTTTTAATAAAATCTATAATAAACATCCAATAAAATTATTATTATTATTATCGTTGTTTTATCGTTATTATTCTCATTATTGTTATTATAATTATTATTCTTATTGTTACTATTATTATTATTAATAATAATTAACTTAGGCTATATTTTAATTGCTAATAAGTAAATGTTTTTAGTTTTATCCGAAAGCCATTATTAGTAATTAGTCTCGATGGTTTTAAGCGCTCTTACATTGATAATCATATTGTGAAAACGCTAGAACATATGGCAAAATGTGGTACAACTGCTGAGGTTTTCTTTTTTTTTTTTTTAATTTGAAAAAGGAAAAAAAAAGTATTACTATTTAGATGAACAGATTATTTATGAAAAAATTATTAAATAAATTATTAAATTGAAAGCAATCAATTTTCTACTATAAAGTATGCTATTAATAGCAACATTTTCTTCTAAAAAAAAAACTATAAATTAAAAATGAATATTTGAAATTTTAAAAATAAATTTTTTTCTTATATGTTATTATGATATCATTTCTTTTCTTTTTTTCTTCTCTCTCCCTCCCACTATTTCTAGAAAGTGTTTTTTATCAAATAAAAGTAATAATAATGATAAATGGATAAATTTAATCAAAAAGAAGGAGAAGAGAAAAGAAATAGGAAATGAATTATTTTCAGTATATGTATGGAACATATCCAACAAAAACATTTCCAAATCATTATTCAATTGCAACCGGTTTATATCCGGAAAGTCACGGTATTGTTGATAATATTATTTATGATAAACGATTAAAAGCTGAATTCATTGATATACGACAGACTAATGATGCACAATATTTTAATGGTATACCGGTTAGTAGTAAAATGCATTTAACATAATATTTAATATAAAATTAATTTTGGTATTTAATAAAATATCAAAATTACTTTAATACTTATAAAAAACATTAATTTTCGATAATTTTATCAATTCTTTTTCTTTTTTTTTGTTTTCCACTTATATAAATGCATAGTTGCAAAAATATTTTTAATTTATTTCATCGAAAATTAAAATTAATTTTAGATTTGGAATGTACTTGAAAGACAGAACATTACAACAGCTTGCTTATTTTGGCCTGCATGTGATTCACCAATAAATGGTTTTTTGTTTTGTTTCTTTTTTCCTTTTCAACAAACTGGATAAAAAAGGAAAAAATTGTGATAAATTATCATTTTATCAGTAAATTTTTTTGATCATAAGAGAGAGAGAAAGACAGAGAGAGGGAGAGAGAGAGGAGAGGGAGAAAAGTGGTAGGAAAGAAATAAAGAATGTGGGAAAAATATAGTGAAAATGTTGAAATATATTTACAGGTATACAACCAACATATAATTTAAAATATAATAGGTCAATGTCATATCGCGATAGAGTCGATCAGGTTTTCTTATTTTTTTTTTTAATTTATTTAATAAAATTTTTGTCAAACTAAAATTATAAAATTCAACTGATCAATTAGTAAATATTGGATGAATTAAGCAAATTTGGATTATTTTAGCTAATTAGTTTTAGTCATAACATATATTATTTAGTGTTTGTTATCAAAAATTTAAATTTAAATTTAAAAAAAAGTAACAGAATGAAATTTTCACAATATTGAAAATTATAGTTAATTTAAAAGAAAAAAATATTCTTTTTTAAATCTTAATTTTACTTTAGATAATAAATTGGCTTAAAATGCCTGCTGATGTACGACCATCATTGATAATGGCATATTTTAGTCAACCTGATGTCGTAGGACATTACAAGGATGACATGGATGTTCGTCTCAATTTTTTTGTATTTTTAAATAATTAATACAATGTTTAAGTAATTTTAAGCTAATGTAACTTTTAATTTTAATTTTAAATGTTTGGTTTAATTATTTCAAATAATAATTCATTAAATAATTTTATTTAATATTTATTAGAATGCTTAGCACTCGAAATAACAAATTATTATTGCTATTATTTTTTTAATTACAACTAATTACATCATGTTAAGATTTCTAAAGAGTTAGAAAATCTTGAATTGATATTGGATCATCTTTTTAAAACATTGCATAATATGGAATCACTAAATTGTATTAATATCATCATACTTTCTGATCATGGTATGTCTTTATCATCATATTTAAATTAAATTTAAAAATTAATTAGCAGTTAATTTATTGCTGTTACAATTATTATTATCATTGTTTGAAATGAAATGGAGCTGAAACTTGATTTTGTCAAAATATTACTGCATTAGATAGAATTTAGATGATTAAATAATACTAATGTAAACTTATCAATATGATAAATTGATAGAATGGAAGTATAATAAATTTAAATTTCAAATATTCTCATGCTATTTAAATTTTAAACATTTTCTTCTTTTTCTGTTTTACTTCTAATTTGATATAGCATAAAAATGTTGAGGTATGCAAAAAATTAATCATCGATACTATTTGAATGAAATGATTGGCAATGAGAATATTTTATTTGCTGATGGTGTGATTGGACAGTTGTATTTTCCAAATGATACTAATTCAACACTTCAAGGTTTGCAAATTAAAAAAAAAAAAAATTTGTTTTTATTGATTAAAAAAAAGAAACGATTAAATGATTAGTTTTAATTAAAATCTTACAAACAATTTGTTGTTGTTATTTAAGAACAGAAAGAAAAATTTTCATTCGTTTTTTTATTTTTTGCTAAAACATAAAATTTAATCAATTAACAATCATACTTTTATATATGTTAATTTATTGTCATAATTTATTGTTAGCAATTAAAATTTCAATTTCAGAAGTTTCAGATGGGTATAAAACAAAAAGAAATGACAAACATAAATTTTTAGATATATATATAATTTACTTTTATTTGACATAAATTTTAGATATATAATTTACTTTTATTTAATTACTCATTTTCTTTTTACTTATACTTTTAATTTTCACTTTTTTTTTTGTTAAGATAAAATAAAAGAAACAATGGAAGAACTTAAATGTTATAACAATGAATACTATCGAGTTTATGATAAGCGACGACTTCCAAAACGATATCATTTTAGCAAATCAGATCGAATTGGTGATATAATCCTAGATGGACAATTGGGTACAATCTTTTATGAGTATGTATTTGATAATCATAATTGATAATTTTTTATTTATTTATTTTTAAATTTGATTTCAGACAATTTTAACTTAAAATTTACTCAGAAAAAATAGGTAATTAATTTAACTAAAGATTAAAATTCACAAAAGTTATTGGTAACTTGTGAAATAATTTGCAGAAATTTAGCATACGATTATAATAAAACGGGTGATCATGGCTATGATTTTATATTGGAACCAATGCATACAATCTTTTATGCATATGGTCCTAATATTGCCCGAGGCTTAGTTTTGAAGCCATTTCAAAATATCGAATTGTTCAATTTAATGATTGGTTAATTGTAATTATTTGTATTAATGAAATTATTTGCTTGAAACGATCAAATTTATTCAGTAATAGTATTTTTCATCTCTATAACTTGTTAAAATAAATTCCATAATTATTCTAATATGAATCAGATATTAAAGTTATATATCACAATTATTTGTTAATATTATTGTTTTGCTAAATAAATTTTTTTTTTTATTTCAGCATTACTAAATGTCAAATCAAATTTATCATCATCAAACAATGGTACCGAAGGAAGATTGAATAGCGTTTTAGATGACATAGCAATAAATAAACCAAATAGATTAAAACCATTGAAGGAATGCAGAATTAATGATAATATTCAAGTATTACTTTTTCTTTTTTCATTAAACATTTATAATTATTAAAATTTTCAAAATTTCAATAAAATTATCTGAATCTTTGATTATGATTAATAGCAAATATTTCTTCATGAAAATAATTATTTAGAATGATAAAACTTGCTTATTTGGTTTATCACTTTTGATTTCTGGCAACGAAGAATTGTGCTACTTATCGAATTGTTCCACTATTTTACAATCAGCTTTAATCCAAAGGTTTTTCCTTCTTTTTTTTTCTTTACAATATTTATTTTTTTAATTAAAAATATGAAAAGTTTTCAATTGATTTTAAATTGCAACACTTTATTCAGTCTTCATTGTTGATAAATTCATGTTTCTTTTGCTTTGATTAAATTAAATTATAAAATATCTGGAATGTGTTTGTTAGAATTTTCTTTTACTTCAGGTCAGATCAAATTCAAATTAAACTATTTACTTCAGATCAGATTCAGATTATCCTATTGCATTAATTGAACGTATCAATTCGGATTCATTACTTTCACAACCAAAATATAAAAATGACTCTAACGAATGGATTACAACTAGCTTAAGTGCAAAAGGTTGTTAGTATTTTCATTTCATTACAAAGATAACCATTTGATAAGCAAATCTCTTATCAAAATCAAATTTTTGATTAGATTATTATTTCAATTTGCATCAAAATAATTACGAATTTGTATTAATATTGCTAAAAAGTGAAATATGAATGATTAATGTTTAACTTTAAGCCCAAATTAATTTCTCATCGAATACATTTATTGATTAGATAGTATTATCATATTATGTCACATATCACATTGATTGCTTGTGCTGAGAAATTTGAAATGTCAAGTAGCAATAAATAAATGAAGCTTAGTTGTCTTTTATAGCAATTATTTTTGAGTGAAATAAATTATTGTTTGTTGTTTGTCTTTTTTAAGCTTGTATTATTAATTAATTTTGATTTTTCAGGTACAAATGATTTGCAAGTTAATCTTCACAGGGATTTTGTAAAAGGTTAGTAAACAAATGAATGCAATAATATGTCAAATAGCTGAAGATTGATAAACTTGATATAATAGTTATCGTTTATTACGTTTTCAAAAGCAGTAGCATAGGTATGAAATTAATTCTCTATACGTATTATTTTATAAGAAAAATTTAATTTAAGGGCATTTTAATAATTTGGAGAAGATAACATCTGATTATGTGGAATTGTATAATGAAATAATTGTCATTAGTGGACCAATTTATGATTTTGATGATAATAACTTCTTTGCTGATTCATCGGAAATGTCATCTGAATTACGATTAGAACGGTTATTACATTTATAATAATATTAAATTTTTTTTTGATCTTGAAAAGTAATATTGGATAACTAACTTTGTTTACACTTACCTTTGATTTCTCAGGAATTTAATATAGTGTAAATAATATTAAAGTTGATTTTATTTATCATTAAAAAAAAAAAAAAAAATGAAAATAATTATTTCTGATAGAATGAATGAAAAAATGTAATATCTTTCTTTGATGATACTTTTTGATGTTATAAAATATTTCTTTCATTCTTTACTTTAATTGTAAATTTACTCAAATTTATCAAAATTAATTCATTCTATGAGATGCAATTATTTTATCATAATTTCTTTCAATGTTTGAAAAAAAAAAGTTACTCATCAGTAGGTTAAAATTAAAAAAAAAAAATTTTCCAACAAATTATTACACATATACTATTAATAAAGTAAAGTAAATATTTGAACGATTATTTTAAGACATAATAATTAGCTCTTTTTTTTAAAAAAAAATGTTTATGTCAATTAACAAGATTTGTCTTCAAAATATTTGAAACTTTATGGAACTAACTATTCATTAAAATTTATTAAAATATTTTTAAAAAAAAGTTTTTTTTTTTAAATTTTCTTTTTAAGTAACACAACTCCAAGCCATATTTTTCGTGTAATATTTCGATGCAAACATTCACGATGGTTGGATGAGGAATTTCAATGTGAAAATGCTAAATCATTAGATGTGTTATCATTCATTCTACCAAATGTACCTAATGATTACAATTGTTTAGTAAGTTTTTTTCAATTTCTTTTAAAATAAATCAAATAGAAGAGATTTTTATAATTTAAAATGTCACAAATTGTTGATTTCTAACTAATAATTGCATTTATAGAAATATTTTAAGTAATAGTAAATAAAAAAAAAAAAGTATCTTTGACTTTATTTATTGCTAGGAAAACGTTCATAAAATTTCTACCATTTATTTATTTATTTATTTTTATTATTTCTCGATGTTTCAGAAAAAAGTTTTGATTTTGTTTGTTATTTTCTCTCTTTCTTATTGTTATTGCAGGATTCATTGTCCTATTTAGCAGCAAATAAGGCTAGATTACGTGATATTGAATTACTAACAGGCCTTGAATTCTTACCAACTTCATGGATTTCACAAGCAGAACTTTATGATGACGAATTCTCGATAACGTTACGAACAATGATGCCTGAAGATTTATGGCTGAAAAACGAATTAAAACGGTAGAAAAAAAAAAAAGTGTCAGGAATTTTTATTCATACATACTTAAATGTTAATATTATTCAAATATCCGTGATATCCTCAAAATTTTATTCCGTTTATTTATTTTATAACTATTTGAGATTATTTATTTGAAATAATAATAAAAAGCAATTTTTGTCATAATTTAATATATTATCATCAATCATTTATTAATTTTGAAGGACTAAATTGACTTTGAAATATGCAAATGATGATAATAATATGCATTACTAAATAAAATTTCGTGGTAAAAAAAAAATGAGAACACAATGAAATATGAAAATTTGACGACAAAGAATTCAAGACGGTCTAGAATTTCAGAAATTGTACAAAACTCTATATTGTATAGGGTGAATTCAGAATTATAAAAATGATCTAGAATTCTACTTCAAAAGGAGATAGTCGAGAATTCTGGAGATGATATGGAATCACAGTTAAAAGGAGATAATCGAGAATTTTGGAGATGATATAGAATCGCACTTGAAAGGAGATAGTCGAGAATTCTGGAGATGATATAGAATCACAGTTAAAAGGAGATAGTCGAGAATTCTGGAGATGATATAGAATCGCACTTGAAAGGAGATAGTCGAGAATTCTGGAGATGATATAGAATCACAATTAAAAGGAGATAGTCGAGAATTCTGGAGATGATATAGAATCACAGTTGAAAGGAGATAGTCGAGAATTTTGGAGATGATATAGAATCGCACTTGAAAGGAGGTAGTCGAGAATTCTGGAGATGATATAGAATCACAGTTAAAAGGAGATAGTCGAGAATTCTGGAGATGATATAGAATCACAGTTAAAAGGAGATAGTCGAGAATTCTGGAGATGATATAGAATCACAGTTGAAAGGAGATAGTCGAGAATTTTGGAGATGATATAGAATCACAGTTAAAAGGAGATATTCGAGAACTTTAGGTTAAACTGCAGAAGGATAAAAGTTTTGAATTTGCTAAATCAAATTATTAGCTCTACGCATCTGTCAAATTCGTCGGATTATATCAGCAAATAATTCAAGAATTTTTCTTTACTAATTTTTTTTCACATAAAAGAATGTGAGAATGTCTCAATTTGTTGAAAAAAAAAGTGTCACAATTTCTGGAATTTGTAAATGTGATAGCTATCCAATAATATTAAAATAATGGTTAAAAAATGATAAATGAATGATCTGTTCGATTCATAATAATTTGTTTTAATTGAAATATTATATTTAATGATGTGATAAGTGCTATTATGGTCTTGTTGTTTTCAGAATCATTTATTGATGAGAAAAAAAAAACAAACAAACAAAAATATGATAAATGTTTATCAATTTGATCTTTGCAGTAGAAATATTTGTTGTTAGGTTGTTTAATTACATCAATAAGAGATAGAACAAACAATTTATTTATCTTTTGTGATTATTTAAGCATTTTTCGAGATATTGTGCTATACGTATAATTAAATAACTTTATAAGTATATAAGTATTTCATAAGTATCTGACTTACATTTAATAATTATTAAAGTTCCATCTCTTCAGTTATATAAAAAATTGTTAAAGAAGATATGATAAAAAAAAAGTTAAAAATAAGCAAATCATCCATCATTATGATTTGTTCAAACATTTCTCGAGATCATAGAGTAGGAAAAGCATCAAATATGTTTTATATCTGAATGTTTATAGTTATCGTTCTAGAAAAATAGTCTCTATCAAGTATTTTGCATAAAAGTTAAATTTATATTTTGCTACACATATTTTATTACAATACAATGATTTTGCTATAGTGATTATCAAATTGATCAAAAGCATTTTGATTATTTTATCGATATTATTATTACACGAAATATTATTATATTAATGTGCAATTACGTTCATATTATTATTATTATTATCAAATATTTTTCCAAAACATTCCTTTAAAAACAAGGCATTATTATTATTATTATTATTATTATTATTATTATTATTATTATTATTATTATTATTATTATTATTATTATTATTATTATTATTATTATTATTATTATTATTATTATTATTGTTACTATTATTATTGTTATTGTTATTATAATAATTATTATTATTATTAGATATGAAATTGCAATTATTTTTTAAAAAAATATGAAATTGCAATTATTTTCTAAAATGTCAAATAACACGCAAAAATTTTATTCCAAATATATTTGTTAAACAATATTTGCAAATCATTTAATTTCACAACAATAATAAAGCTTTGCTAAAAAAAACAATATGCTAACCTATGTTTGCTTTTTTTTTTCTTCTTTTTCCCACAATATAAGGTAATAAATAATATTAGTTTAAAAAAAAGCGAAGAGGATAACAACTTTGCACAAAACAAAAATATAATTTTTAATATTATATTATCTAAAAATGTTCTCCTATAAATCAATAATACAAATTCAAATTCTCTTACAAAATAATAATAATACAAATTGAAATTCTTCTACAAAATAATAAAATAATAATATTCAAATTCTTCCACAAACAAATTCTTTCACAAAATTATGAAACAAAATTCATACAATTCACTGATAAATTAGTAATAGAAATTCAATTTTTTGATTTTACAATCAAAAATTCTGACAAATTATTGCAATATATAAAATATTAAAATATTGTTTATTATGTTCAGAAATCAGTGATTAAATATGACATGATATGTTATCATTTTTTTTTATCATTAACATACACTGATAAATTTACTTCCAAATCCTAATCTTCTTGCTTGCTTTTTTGTTTTTGTCAATGCTATGATAATATAATCATACTGTAAAATCATTTTATCACTTCAAAAATTTCAATTTTTTGTTGTTTATTGTTGTAACCATTGATGTGCTAGAATTTCATCAATTGTTGCTCTTTCATTTACATCGTTTTGCAGCATTTTCATCAGAAATTCTATTGTACAAAAAAAAAGGAAAAAATGATGGAATGAAAATTTATTAGCAATAATTAATTATGCATATTAAAAAAAATAAATTAAATAATTTTTTTTTTTAAAATAAATGCTTCATTATTCCCATGTTTTTCCTGTTAAATAAGTTGCAATTAATTTGAAGAAAAAAAAGAAAACAATGCAGTATTTATCAACAAAATTTATTGATATATTTGTTTATTTCATGCTGAATTTGTTTTTTTTTTTTTGATAAAACTATTAAAATTTAAATTGTAAAATTATAACTAAAGTTTAAGAAATATGATTGAATTTATCAAAAAATTTGTTTAATTTTATCATTTTAATAATTATTTATGAGCTTACCTGCGACAGCTTCACGTGATTTTTGAAACCGGAAAAAGTTTGCTTTATGTTCCGTTTGACACCATGTAAAATAGTCATTATCACGCTTCCTTCAAATATTATTTAAAAAATGCCACAAGTTATACATATTCTAATTTGATTTAATTTATTATGTATATTCTCTAATTAAAATTTAATTTATTATATATTTTCTAATTAAATTTACTATAATCAATTCTAAAAATAATGAAATTTAGTAATTTAAACCTGTCTGCTATTTCCCACGGTACATCACTTTTTAGTAGAAAATATAAAAAGATACCACAGGCCCATATATCTGCATAATCTGGTCTGCAATATTTAAATTTTAAAAGAATTTAAGAAAAAATTTTTTTAATAAAATTTTAGTTTAAAAAAATTTTTTAAAGAATTGAATTATAGAAATTTATATATTTCAGTAAATATTGAACACTGATTATACCTGTATTCCTTTTCAAATGTTTCCGGTGCAGCATATGCTTCGGTTGCATAAACCGAACCGGGCATCAATTTTCCAGGTTGAAAAATTTTCGCATGATCAAAATCAGTGAGTTTTAGAATTCCTAAATAGACAAATATTTTCATTATAGTTTTTCTGAATGAATATCTTCTTATTACTAGAACAAAAATTTAATTTAGAAAAAAAAATTTTAGAAAAAAAAAATAATAAACAATTTAATATTAAAATCATAATTTAATATATTATTAAATATAAAATCTTCAAGGATACATAATTTAATATATAATCAACTAAATACAGTTTAATATACATTATATTAGCTTAGTACTAAATTCAACGAACGTATATAAACTTAAAATGCTATTAAATACGAAATGAACTAAAATTGAATTTAATATTAAAATCATACTATTCCGGGTTAGAAGACAATTCTCAACTTTTATATCCATATGAGCTATATGCAAATCATGGATATGTTTGACTGCCTTTAACAGATCACTAAAAAGTGATCGTACTTTTGCTATTCCTATTCGTCGCTTTTCTGCAATAAAAAAAAAAAGAAGAATGAAGCAAATAATTGAAGTTAAAATAAACAAAAAATCACAACAAAGGAATTAAATTTTTAATCAAAAGTTATAAATCAAATTAATACAATGAGTGAATCAAATCTGAAATTAAATATTTTTGTTATATTTTTTTGAATTTTTAAATAATTTCATTCATACTTCGAATATAATTTCTTTCAATGAATTCATAGAGATCACCACCATCAACATATTCCATAATTTGTTGTGTAAATAAGTTAACTTTACGGAAGCCAATCAGTTTTACAATATTAGGATGATGACCAATAAGCTCTTTTATCCGGATAGCCTAAATAATTATTATGATGTATATGTTTTTACTTAAAGATAAAAATAAAAACAAAAATAAATATTTAAACTAATTTTAAAAATATGAAATTACATTTTCGGTGTGTAATTTCATACGTGAAACAGTTCTAATCTGACGTTCTTTATCATTTTCAAAAGCATCCGTACTACAATCTTGTCTACGACTCCATCGCATTGCAAAGTGTATTCCATCATCATTTGTTACAAGATATACTTTAAAATTACCACCTATAAATAAGAATATTTTTAAATTGTAAAATTTAAATTTATTTATACAAAAAAAATTTATGATCATATCATTTATCTAGTGTAATTATCTTCATTGATTAAGTAAGATTATGCATAATTATCTTAACTAATTAAGATTATACACGATTATCTTAATTAATTAAGTTTTCTTTCTTACCTTAATGAATAAAAGAAAAGAGAGAGAGAGAGAGAGAGGGAGAAAATAAAACTGATACACTTATAAGACAAAGTAATTTATTTTGATCAACCAACCTTCGCCAAGAATTTTATTAGTTTTCCATATTTTTCCTCGTAATTCTATTGGCATATAATCTTCATCAATGGTAGCATCTTTCGGATCATCGCAATAACCAAGATTACCTAATGAGAATGTACCATTGCAAGTACTAGCAATTGGTCTGCTAGAGGTTGAATCCGAAGCAGAAGTTGTAGTAGTATTTGATTTACCAGAAGAAAAATAATCATCACTTTCGGATGTGGTCGTTTCCAAACAAATTTCTACGTCCGTGTTGTTTGAAGTATGTGCCATAATCTAGTTATTAATTATAAATAATATTAATTCCATATTTCAGTACTGTAATATCAAAAAAAAAAATTACCTTCACATTCCTAAACATCCAAAAAAATGCATCAAAATTTTCAAACATAAACAAAAAAAAAAAAAAAAAAAAAAAAAAAAAAAAAGGAATACGAAAAAAGAAAAAGAATTACCAAGACATCCATGATGCTTAAATATGCCTATAAACACATATAACTGTGTATATACCTTACTGCAAATCTAAAGAAAAAGTGAAATATTTAAAGTGGGAATGGAAATGAGTTACTTTATGAGTTACTTTACTTTAAAATGACTTACTTTATTTTATGCATACAATTTTCAAATTTCATATACAATCATACATATACCATCAGAAATTGCAATATTTTTAGTAATGAAAATAATTTTTTTTTTCTTTCCCTTCATTTTCAATGAGTAAACAGTGCATTTCCCATTTTTTTAGAACTTAAATTTTCTAAACAGAATGTATCTGTAATAATAATTATATGACAATATTAGTAATTAACAATAAACAATAAATAAATCTTATGAAACCAATATTTTGACATATCCCAATGATATGAAAAGCGACAATAACAATAACAACAATCAAAACACACGCACATATATATGCGCGCACCGCAAATAACTTTTGTCTATTACTTTTTCTTTGGTGACCTCTTCGTCCTACCTGTCTGCTAGCACAGTTACATTACTTATATGGATGCTGAGACATTCTGTGATACTTATAGTTAACTTTTGCTTCAGGGAAAGGTCAAATTGAATCAGTAGTATAGCCATCCAAATGACTTAAACAAAATGTAAATTTGACATTATTATTATCTCTGGAAGACATTACTTCTGCAAGAAAAATCTCACCAATTCATTGACCGTTGAAAATTTCAAAAATTTGAAGCAAAATTCGATGCCATAAATACTTTCACTTTAATTTCTCAAAAGTTCAACAACTAATTGCAAACAAATAATTTATGAGAAATCATAGAAAATTGAATTCACTGAACGCCTATTTCACTTATTTCGATTGGGTTACGGTAGTCGCATTGTTGGTTTGCTTCACATTGCCATAATGGTGGTTCTCTTTCATCGCTTTGCAGAACAAATAACAACTAAGCTTTTTACTTACCCGTGAATTACTGTAAATTACTGTCACTTTTTTTGTTACCCATAGTACTTTATGCAGTGTCACTTTTGCAGTCAGTACTGCATGAAAAAATTTTAAGTCAAAATTTCAAAAGAATTTCAACTAGATAGTGAAATCTTTATTCAATCGATCAATGGTTTTTGTATTTTATCTCAATCGAACAGACATACCTATCATTACTAACTTACTTTGAGAAAATGAAGAGCAAATGGAATAAAAATAATAAATATTTATTGATCGCTGATAAGTGAAATTAACTGATAACTAATTAATTACTAATCAATTGATATGTCTCGAAAGTAATAATAATTTCGAAAGTTTGTAGAAAAATGAAGTAAATTACTCAACAAAGAAGCAATGACAACAATGAGCGCCCATATTATCCATTCGAATGATCTCAAAAATTTACTCATCGCTTACTGCAGGTCATAGTTCTTCTCGTCTGTTACTTTAATTTCTATTATTATTACTTTTCAACTTTGACAGTATAGCATATTCATATCAATTCTTCTTCATTCTATGAGGTCAAATTGAGAGAAAGCAATATTCATTCAATTCTATCGATTAACAGTTCGTTGTCATTTTAAATCATCCATAACAACATTCTTTCCCATTTTTGTGGGTTAAATTGAATGAAGCAGAGTCACCAAAAATATTTTTAATTGACTATGAAAGTGGACTAATAAGAAATGGATGTTGACCTTTGAATATCCATTTTATAAGCACCCTCTCTCCCTCTCTCTCCTTTACTATCATCCATCTTTCTCTTTCATCAGTCCTTTTTCTAAACATTTAAAATTTCAATCATTCCCTCCAAAAATTTTAAGGAGGGAAATACTTTGGTTTTTTCTTTCTTTTTCTGCTCACTCTCACTTACATTGATCATTGTTAAAGTTAGTTACTTATTAAGAATTACTATTTTATACTTTAAAAGTAAACATTTGCTATAGCATACGGTAAAAAAACATTCACATCCTATCAATAAATGTCATTTGTGATGTATTATTGACATATATTAAGATAAATAAGTGAAATCCATCTCCCAATCAAATATCTTCCATTGGAACTCATTTCTTCTGGTATTTGTAATTGATCAAATTTTATTTTTATATGCATTCATCTGAAAATAGCTGCACTAATCGATTCAAAAATGATCCATAAGCAAAATTATTGAAATAAAAGTAGCAAAATGGAATAATTTCAATTAAAGATGTTAAGTGTTTGTTAAATTTGTAATTTTGACTTTTTAAATTAATAGAATGGATAAGAATTTTTTTTTAAAAATAAAAAATTGCAATCAATCAATACTGTTATATTATTTATTGTAAATATTACTTTTTTGACTTGGCTACTTTTTTTATCATAGTTATCATTTTATCATGATAATCACTATTGAACAATTTTTTTCAGCAAAGAAGGTTTTTCTCTTTTTATCGAGCGATTATATCAAATAATATGCTAATTCTTATAAAATTTTCTCCTGTATTGAAAGATTGGAAATTTAAAAATTTCAACAAATAGTAGAATGAAATAAAAGAATTGCGGAAAGTTTGTTTTTTTTTTTTTTTGAGATATCTAATAAAAATTTCAATGTGATATATTTCAAAATATTATCAAAAACTCTTCAGACAATTAAAATAACTTAAATATAATTATATTAAAGCTTCTGTAATATAATTGATAGATACAATTAATTATTAAATAGATTTCATTGCAATAAAATATTTGATAGTATGATATAGAAATTAAGCTTCCATAAAATTAAAATTCTTAAAAAAAATCATTTCTTATTGAAAAAATTGAGCATAGTATTTTAGTATTACAAGCGATAGATTTTTTAAGTCATCAATAAGATTTCGAAAAGATTAAAAATTATTTATGGCGTATCATAGCATATCAAATATATTTAATTATTGCCTAATTATTTCTGAGACAAATAATGATTTTTTAAAAATAATATGAGCTTAATTTTTGATGAAAGTTATACAATATGGACAAACTTAAGCTATCAATTAATTCCACTTTAAATGATTAAATAAAGAAAATTTAATATGAAACAATTAAAAGAAGTAAATAAATAAATAAATAACTGGTATAGGCATTGATTGTTTCAATAAATAATTTGTTATTAAACAATCTTAGCACTGCTTGAATAATTCTTTTTAAAAATAATTGAAAAGTGAAAATTTTCGACTGGTAGCCAGGACTATTTAATTAAAATTACCAATGCTATCAAACTTTCAAATCCTGATCCGGTAAGGAAGCACTCATTTTCCGTATCCTAAATTCTACTCTTATACTCATGCATACATAATTGTAAACTTCACAATCAATGCTTGCTAACCACAATTTGATTATTACAGTTTAAAATACATCTGATAAAGGCGCAAGAACAATGCTGTAAGTGATAAGTAACTGATAAGTATGTGATAAGTAATTGATAAGCATGGATCAATGCAAAATCAAAGCCGTGAACAAAAGAGAAAAGAAGTTTTCAAAATCCGTCAAAAAAATTAAATTTGATTCCAGTGCCGTAAAAAAATAGAAAAATTTTTGCAATCGACAGAAAGCACTTCATTAATTATAAAATTCAAGAAAAAAAAAGTTTTAAGAAATATTGAAAATTTATAAAATACTGCAAAAAAGAAAATAAAAGAGAATGACGGAAAAAGTTATACTTTAATTTGAGTTATTCAATGCATAAAATTTCTGACTTCATATACGGCCATGCATATACCACTAGGAATTACAATATTATTGAAAGTGAAAAATTTTTTCCTTATCTTTGGTGACCTCTTCGTCCTACCTGTCTGCCAACACAGTTACATTACTTATATGGATGCTGAGACATTCTATGATATTTATACTTAACTTTTGCTTCAGGGAAAGGTCAAATTGAACCAATAGTAAAGCCATCCAAATGACTTAAACAAAATGTAAATTTGACATTATTATTATCTCTGGAAGACATTACTTTTGCAGGAAAAATCTCACCACTTCATTGACCGTTGAAAATTTCAAAAATTTGAAGCAAAATTCGATGCCATAAATACTTTCACTTTCATTTCTCAAAAGTTCAACAACTAATTGCATACAAATAATTTATGAGAAATCATAGAAAATTGAATTCACTGAACGCCTATTTCACTTATTTCGATTGGGTTACGGTAGTCGCATTGTTTGCTTCACATTGCCATAATGGTGGTTCTCTTTCATCGCTTTGCAGAACAAATAACAACTAAGCTTTTTACTTACCCGTGAATTACTGTAAATTACTGTCACTTTTTTTGTTACCCATAGTACTTTATACAATGTCACTTTTGCAGTCAGTACTGCATGAATAAATTTTAAGTCAAAATTTCAAAAGAATTTTAACTAGATAGTGAAATCTTTATTCAATCGATCAATGGTTTTTGTATTTTATCTCAATCGAACAGACATACCTATCATTACTAACTTACTTTGAGAAAATAAAGAGCAAATGGAATAAAAATAATAAATATTTATTGATCGCTGATAAGTGAAATTAACTGATAACTAATTAATTACTAATCAATTGATCTCGAAAGTAATAATAATTTCAAAAGTTTGTAGAAAAATGAAGTAAATTACTCAACAAAGAAGCAATGACAACAATGAGCGCCCATATTATCCATTCGAATGATCTCAAAAATTTACTCATCGCTTACTGCAGGTCATAGTTCTTCTCGTCTGTTACTTTAATTTCTATTATTATTACTTTTCAACTTTGACAGTATAGCATATTCATATCAATTCTTCTTCATTCTATGAGGTCAAATTGAGAGAAAGCAATATTCATTCAATTCTA